GAAAATGGCAGATCATGGAAATAAATGTTAAGTTCCAGGCTGAGCAGGGGATGTGAAGTGCAGGGATGGGTTGGTGTCTGTATTCAGAAAGGCACGGAAAACAAATAACGCGTTCTAATAAAATAACACGAGCCACTAAAGGGACATGGTTAGCTGCAAATCTCGCAAGTGAAAGTAAAAAGCCATCGTGCATTCAGCTTCAATGCCACGCATATTAATAGCGCCTCCCTAATGCCCGCATTTTATATACAGTATAATTACCCAACGATATAACTGCGAGAGACAGTATTGAAATATATATTTTCCCTGTGTTTCCTTCCTGCTGTGTGAGCTACTGAAATGAGCCGCACTGTGAAACAGCTAATCAGAGCAGAGCTCAACGTTGAGCCGCACTGTGAAACAGCCAATCAGAGCAGAGCTCAACATTGAGCTGCACTGTGAAACAGCCAATCAGAGCAGAGCTCAACATTATGATTCATGATGACCCTTACAAATAAGGTAAAAACAGACCGTTTCATTCTAGGGACAAATCTTAGGGTTGTAAATGGACATGTAAAAACTTTTCTGGAGATTTTTTTGCCCTTACCTAAGCCACATACCTTCTATTTTAGTATCAGAGAGCAATTTAAAATATTGTATCAATGCATTCTATGGCACCTTTAAGCGTATCTGCTGTCTCTCTGGTATTATTATAGTTTTTCTCTGTCTGTGTCCTTCAGGATGTGGCAGCAGTTGACGGTCTGTACAGGATTCGAGTGCCTAGAGTCTCTCTACAGGTGGATCGACAGACAGAGAGACAGTCTGAAGGTTACCTTACTACATTCGTTAGAGCCGTAAGTCAACCTCCTGCAAATACCAACATTAGATATATTTAATTACAAATATTTGAGTGTGTGTGTATATATCCTCATTTGTAAGTCGCTTTGGATAAAAGAGTCTGCTAAATGGCTAAATGTAAATGTAAATATTAGTGCTGTCAAACGTTTAATCGCATCCAAAATAAAAGTTTTGGTTTACATAATATGTGTTTGTGTGCTGTGTATATTTATTATGAATATATAGATGCACACACATACAGCATATATTTAGAAAATATTTACATGTGTTTACATGGCTTTGAGGCTTTCCTCCTCACCAACGACATTAAACACCGTGTCTACACCGGACGCGAGTGGCAAAATACAGTAGAACCATTATAATCAGTGACGCTGTGTACACTGGATGCGACGCGACAAAACCCGACATTAAACTGATGCCTTGTTCTATTTATGACGTACTGACACAAAGTTAATATGATTTGCAACGGTCGCTTTGTCGCGTCCAGTGTAGAGCTGTTGCGGCGCGACGCGACAACTGTAGCGTCCGGTATAGACACAGTGAGTGAAGCCGAGAGCACGATATGCCTTGTCATTAGGGATGTAACGATTCACTCAACTCACGATTCGATTCGATTCACGATTTTGATTTCACGATTCGATTCGATTCGCGATTATTGTAATTTTTTTGCCGATGGGTGTGTCATCAAAGTACTGCCGGAGCTATAAGAGAGCGCGGACGTCTCAATATGCTTTCTCTCGCTGTACTTTGATGTCAAAGGCTACACCGATCGATCTTCAAGTGAAACACACCTCTTTACTCTCGCGTGTCACGTGACTGAGTCTAATCGCAGTCTCTGCGATTGAAAAATCGTGTTTTTTCATATCGCGATATTATCGCAAATGCAATTAATCGTTCAGCCCTACTATCTATTCATCAAAGCAACATGAAAAATGTGCACGTTTCCACAGAAATATTAGCATTGCATATTAGCATTGATAACATTGATAATGATTTTTTTTTTTAAATGTGTCTTGAGTACCAAATCCACATATTAGTATGATTTCTGAAGGATCATGTGACACTGAAGAATGATGAATAAATTCCATCACAAGAATAAATGACATTTAAAAACGTTGAAATAGAAAATAATTGTAAATTAGAGTATTTTACAATATTAATGTTTTTACTGTATTTCGCAGCCTTGGTGAGCATAAGAGATGAGCTGTAGTGTGTGTATAAATGTAAATGCAGATATTTTTATATAGTATGTATGCAAAATCCTAAAGTTGGACATTTTTAGCTATAAATCTTGTCTTGCTTTTCTCCCAAGTGCTCTCTGGTGGAGTCCCACCTCAGTGATGTCATCACCCTTCACACTGATGTCAGCGGATATATCATTGGCATTTCCATAGTAACAATCCCTGGGTCATGTCGTGGGATAGAGGTGGAGGATGAGGTTGACCTGGAAGTCTTTAACTCAACAATAAGTGTCGTGGCGCCAGTCACTGCACCTGCGTGAGTACAAACACACACACACTTGCATATGTGGTTTTACGGGGACTCTCCATAGGCCTAATGGTTTTTATACTGTACAAACTGTATTTTCTATCACCCTACACCAACCCTACACCTAAACCTACCCCTCACAGAAAACTACTGGCAATTTTGCATTTCATAAAACACCGTTTTGTATGTTTTCTAAGCCTTTTGTTTTACGGGGACACAGGAAGTGTCCTCATAAACCATGTTTACGTTGTAGTACCCATGTCATTATACACATTTGTGTCCTCATAAACCATACATACCAGTGCACAAATACACACACTCTCTCTCTCAGACTGCTACTTCTGATACTTTTTTTTGATTCCAAGGCCCCCTTTGTCCTTAATAGAGTAGGTAAACACTACACTCACAAATTGCATTGTCTGCATATGTTATTATCAGCTGTTTGTCTCTTTGGCTCTGATTTAGACCTGAAACAGCACCCTACATTGAGAGGATGGAACAGGAAATGGAAAAGAAAGGCAAAAACCCACAAGAGCAGAAATCCTTCTTTGCCAAATATGTAAGTATTTTTATTTTTTCAGTATGACGTGTCGCATTACTGTTTTGCCAGTCTTTACTTTGGGTTTCTGTTAAGTTCACACAAATAATTATGTTTGCATTTGACTAATTATTAATGTGATAATTTTTCGCACCTACGGTATCTAGGTAGTAAAAGTGCGAAACATTTTGTGTTATTACATTAATCTCCTCTCATCCTTTATTTCACCTCCTGTCCAAATGGCCTCCATTCCTGCTAACAGTTTTTTGCTCTACTGTGTCTCTTTAGAATTAGCATATTTTTGTGTTTGATTAGCAGTTTGTGTTGTGGAACAAGTGGACTGCAGTGCCTAAGCTGACCGTTACTAGGCCTATGTTTTTGGGTGTTGTATTTTGAGCTAACCGTTATTGCATTTGCTGCTCTGCTCCGTGTTGAAGCTGCTGGTCCGTTCCGCCCAGTCCTGAATACGCCTACCAGTACTAATGTCCCTCTTTGTGACTGATCTCTTAATTCTCCAGCAGCATGTGTCGTGCTCGGCTGTTCTGCATTCACTGTGCTGTGTCTGTGTTGACTTTGTGCCGGTCTGTGCTGTGTTCCAGTGGTATTTGATTCTGGGAGGTGCAGTGTTCCTCATGGCCACCAGTTCAGCACAGACCCCACCAGGGGGCGCCAGAGAGCAGAGCTGATTTCCATTCATTTCAAGTACTGAAATCTCATTTTAGCCTACTTGGTTAGTCTGTCACTCCAGCTGCATTTCTCAATGTTGTGTGTGTATATGGGCCAGCACACGCACCCACATACATTCAAACTCAAATCCTCTGATCCTTCCTCTGTTTCAGCTTGGTGTTCAGTTGTTTGTGTGTTTCATTATGCTTTTTTGTGTACTTTTCCTGCTGGGTCATGACCAGATCAGTGGTGTTTTGATTAAATAGGTGCCTCACAATCAGGTTGGCCGGTAATTTTAGCAGGGGATTGTCGTCTCAAGCTCAGAGATGTTCATGACCCACGCTGCTTGCTTCACTCTTTCCTGTTTTTTCAGTCTCATTTCTCCTGATTTCTCCCTGCCAGTGGAAAGTCATTTGTGAGAAGCAGTAAGTGGTGGAGGTTGGACAGTGAGAGAGCAAGGAAGGATGAAACTGAAAATTATTTGCTTGGGGAAACCAATTAATTCAATGGCTTGTAATTGTCCTGCACCTAATCATTGGCTCTGGAGAGGAACCGTCATGTGTTGCATTTTAAACTGTGTACAAATGTGTTAAAACTTTCTGTTGTGTTTTTCTTTTCTCTTTCCTCAACAGTGGATGTATATTGTCCCTCTCGTTCTTTTCCTGATGATGTCTGGAGCTCAGGATCAGTCTGGAGGCGGAGCTGGAGGTGGGGCGGCCAATGGCGGAGGACGATGATTCCCATGGCAACAAAGACTCCTGTGTTGTACATAATAATTTAAAGCAGATTTTGAGTTCAATGACGTGCATAATGACACATACATTTACAAACGAAGGATCGTTCTAGAGAGATAATGATTGAAAAACTTAACTTATAACTGCATTGTTGGATTGCGTTTTTACTACTGATTTAATAAAATAATTTGATGACCGTTGTTGTCAGCATGGTTATTTACTACAAGTCATGCCATTCATAAATAATACAGGCATTTTGAAACCGGTGATCAGTGGATGATGGAGAGCTTTAAAAGTTCATCTCTTCATTCTCTTATATGTAGCTCTTAGACTTGTTTCTTGGCCCAGTGCCATTTGAGCTAGTTTGTTTTGAATCATGTTGATGCTGGTAATACCACTCCTCTCTGCACCTTGATGCCATAAATAACTAGTCATCTACTGTAAACCAAATGTCTCTTCATCATGGTTATGGTACTAAACTAATATAAACTACTGAAAATTCAGTCATTAGCTTTGCAAAATCAAGCAGCAAAACAAGCTGTTTTGTACAGCTAAAAAGCCAGTGGAAGCCAATGACACCGGAAGCCAGACCCATAAAATGTACATATTACTGCATCCGCTCTTACAGTGAAAATAAGGTGGATACTGCTCTTTAAATCCTGATTGCCTGAGACTGATGTATTGAGCTTGACATTTTATTTTAAATAAACCGTTTGAAAGTGAAGTTACAATTTATATAAGGCCTATAATTACTAAGTTTGGGGTCAGTAAGATTTTTTTTAAAGAAATTAATACTTCAATACTTAATACTATTCAGCAAGGATGCATTGCACTGATCAAAAGTGACAGTTTATTTTGTTACAAAAGATTTCTATTTCATAAATGCTGGTTATTTGAACTTTGTTTTTATCAAAGAATCTTAGAAACAATGCATTACTATTTCCACACACACAAAAAAATGAGCGGCACAACTTTTTTCAACTTTTTTTGAGCAGCAAATCATCAGCATATTAGTATGATTTCTGAAGGATCATGTGGCACTGGAGAGTGCAGTAATGGCTGCTTTGCCATCACAGGAATAAATTACATTTGACAATATATTCAAATAGAAAACCGAGTAGGATAAGAGCTTAAAATGGAAGGTAGGTTACCAGCAAATCTATAAAAAAAAACATTTCAGTTAAAATTAGTTTGACTTTGAAACATTATTTATTTAGTATTAGTATAATTATAGTCCGAGGCTTTATACAAAATATTCACAGTTTTTTTATTGAGATTCAAAAAAAAAAGGCAGCTTATGGCCACAGTTGGTTGAGATTAATCGTGAAAGCTTGACCTTTGACAGACATGGCTTTTCGAGATTTTACCCATCCTGCTTCATAAGATGTTGCTAATCATACAGCTATTAGTGTGTGTTCTGTAAACAGAAGCGAACTTGGGGAGAGAATGTTCTAGACCGGCTCCCGCAGACCTGTGGCTATCTTTGTCAGCTGTCAGTCATTCTCAGCTCGTGGGTCTGTTTGTCTTGGGCCCGTTCATGTGCAGCTTTGGCAGTGTGTGGTAAATCTGGATCTTACGAGGCTCAGCGCCGACAACACTCTCTTGTGTTCCCCTAAACCCTTAACCACACCGCCCACCCGTGTTCTCTGAAAGATTTTGTAGTCCCATGCAGCAGGACATCTACAAGTCAATGACCTCAAGCAATCACTGTTTCAGGCCAAAGTCAATGTCACGGATAAACTCTAAAGCAAGGAGGAGAGAGCTTGAATTAATTTCAAAGTCATTTGGAAGTAAAAGGATCTGCTGGTATGTGAAGGTCTGGCACCTTTGTGCTTACAGGCCTCTGTAAACAGCTCTGGTGGGCTAAAATGTAGCAGGTCAAAGGACAACGCAGCAGGAGATGTTGATTCATTTCTACCGCTTTAGCTGTGTTAAGCTAATTAGAAGTAATAAAGTGTACATCTGACTTTACAAATCTCAAACGTTTATCCCTCATTTTTGGTGTGAGCTAACTCGGGATTTTCTTTGCATAGAGATCCAATTCAGTGTAAAAGTATCATCGCAGCTCTGATGAATGTGTGGATGCCAAGAAGCACATGGTTGAAACTGAGACAGAACAGAGGTGTGTGTGCCACAGTCAGGGGTGTGAAGTAACGAATTACAAATACTCACGTTACAGTAATTAAGTAGTTTTTATCAGTAATTGTACTTTTTTGAGTAGTTTAAAAATTGTGTACTTTTACTTTTACTTGAGTATATTTTTTCAGTACTCTTTCCACCACTGGCCACAGTAAGTGCATTTCTTTCTCGCTCACTCTGTCGCTCTTCACCTGCTGCTGTATTTTTCCAAACCCACACAGAAAGACTGAAAAAGCACAAATAAGTGAAACAGACACAATATGACATGCGAGTTTTACTTAATTAGTATTGTGTTTAGGACACCAAACATCTCCAAAATAAGACTGAAATTTTAATGTTTTTCAAGAGATTGTGTGTGTCACTTGCTGAGCCTGTCCTAACATCTGATTCTCAAACCCAATCCACTTCATTTGTGTCCACAAGAAGAATTGCATGACATATGAGACTACCGCAATACATATTGCAGGAAAAGGAAACAGAAACCTCTGTTTTGGAGAGACCTCTGTCAGTGGACAGTCATAAATCTCACATCCTCTCACTATGTGACCAGTTGTGTCACAATTACTACCTGTTACTCAGAGTAAACCTGCCAGGGATGCCAGTGTGATATCTATCTATCTATCTTTCTATCTATCTATCTGTATGTATGTATGTATGTATTATTATTTAAATTATATTTAATATTATATATAATAATACAAAATATCTATCTATCTGTATGTATGTATGTATGTATTATTATTTAAATTATATTTAATATTATATATAATAATACAAAATATCTATCTATCTGTATGTATGTATGTATGTATTATTATTTAAATTATATTTAATATTATATATAATATAATACAAAATATCTGTCTATCTATCTATCTATCTTTCTATCTATCTATCTATATTACATTTATAACATTTGTGGTATTATTATTATTGTTATGATTACTATTATCACTGCACATAATTTGCGTAATGTTTTAGTCTGTTATGCATAAATCACAGGTAACTAGCATCAAACAACTGAAATAAGCAATGCAGATATACTGTATATAGTCTGGTTTAATTTATAGCACACAAACAGTGTCAAACTATGTGCAGGTTAGCCTACAAATCATTGTCATTCCGCCGATGCTATTTCGGAGGGAGGCATGGTTAGGATGTCTCTCTTAAAACGTCCTATACATTCACATACCCACACAATGCTCTGTATTTTAGCTAAACATAGCGTACAGTTGCCACCTATTAAAATTCCACCGCCTAACTTACAAGTCTTCAAAGCGTGAAGAGCTAATGAAACAGAGCGCTCCGTGGAAGGGAAGCTGTTTCTCATTATAACGGTAAAGAGAGAACAGAGGTGCTAAGAGGAAGAGTGGGAAAAGAATGAGTGTCTGAGGGACGAGGAATACACCCGTCTCGTTTATCAGGAATGAAGACAGGCCAGATACTGACATAATCGACAGTCTGCTTTCAAGCATTAAAGAATCACCGTGTGATTTAAGACTCAGAGCTTTGAGATGAAGAAACGTCTCTCATTACTGAGTGATAATGTCTTGTAATACAGTTCAGCGGATCCATTTCAGATTAGTACAGCTTTGCTGTTTTTCCAATCCGTCCGTTTGATTAAGAAATTGATGCTATTGTCATTTTGGGAGGCATCATGAGCTTTGACATGAGGTTTGCTGCAACTATACTCGCAGATTCTGTAAATCATTCAATCAAGGTGTTTTTTATGAGGTAAGATTAGTCTAAAATAATAGGCTCCCTTCTGATATATTTGTAAAGTCAAAATGTTCTGATACCTCACTATTAGCAAAGTTGCTGTGGATAACATTTCCCACAATGTAAACAAAAAATTGTGTTTATCCTTGTAAACAAAAAATTGTGTTTATCCTTGGGCTGCATGTGAAGATGTCCTTCAGACGTGACAGTAATGTGAGTGCAATGTCAGACCCCCTGCTGAACTCTGAGGTCAAAGAACCCATTCTGTCTTCTTCTGGTATAAACAAACTCTCAATGTTTTGTACTAAACACTTTTCAGTTGAATAAGCTACAATGTCCTTCTATTTTGCACTCTGCACCTAGTATCAGTTCATCATGGCATTGCATATCTAGATTTATAATCATAACTGTATATGTGTGTGGTCCTACTGTATATCCTTTTATTGACTCATTTGATGGTAACATGTGAGTACTTTAGGTAACAGGATGGACCTCATGATCAGCACCTCGACCACCCACAGACCCCCTCCCCTCCCCTTCGGCAATGTCTTTTCCTCCCCCTTTTTCACAGAGTTAATAAGAAGGGAACCCAGAGACAGAGAGACTCAAGAGTCGAAAGACACTCATCCAGCCCTGCAATGCCCAGTAGTACCCCAAGCACCAACGGAATCATGCCTGAAGTAAAGAAAGCAGGTAAGGGCTGCTCTCATTGCCTCACCTTTATCAGTTCATTATCAGCAGAACAGGCTCACCTGTGTGCCAGGACGCATTCATTGTTGCTAAGATCTGTAACTTGCTACCAATGCATCATTGGATGTTGCTTTATATTTTTAATAATCTAGCACTGACAAATAAATAAGTAAAACTTCAGCATCTTTTAAAACAGTTATTATGCATTTGTAACTTTTGCAAAGATATACAAGGAAGGCGATACAATTGGCAGAGAAAACTGACATCGTAAGAATAATAAAATAAAAATAAAATAGTACATGGAAATAATAAAAAAAGGAATTGCAAAATAAAACATAATACATAGAAAAATAGCAAATCTATGTAAGGGGAAAAAAATTAAGTTGTCTGATGAAAAGCCCTAGAGAACAAAGTCTGTGGTTATGGTATTATTATATTTATTTAAAATAAGTAATATAAATGACAAGGTAAAATGGACATTAAAACAACTTCATTTTACAATTTAAATTTTTTTTATTTTTATAAATATATTTTATTTATTTATAAAAAATATTATTATTATATTTTATAAGCATTTTTATTGAATTTAATTTTTATAAATATTTTGTTGTATGTATAAATATAAATATTTTGATTTTTATAAATAGTTTATATAATAGTTTTTCTCATT